GTGTGGACAGAGCAGCAGCCTGCAGAGTGGGCAAAGATTTCCACGAGCCTCGTAGCCACACTTTCATGAAAGACAAACTGTGCTGTGTTGAGACTATTTTCAAACCCCGAAAGAACTTCTTTGAATTCTCTATTAACTTTTTAACATGAGTATATTGGTTGAGGTCCCAGTATTTCTCAAGACTAACAAATTTTGCTTTTGCTTTTTTTCTTTTTGTCACTGAAATATATAACCTGGGGATAAATGGGACATTCTGAGTGTGAAACACATGTGTATGTTTTGTTTCTTAAAAACCTCTTCAAATAATGGATTGGAGGTTTATTTTTTAAAAATTTTAATTGTAGTTTTTTGCCCTCAGCACTGGGCTTACAGTGAAAGAAACATCTCTGTTCCTGGCAATAAACAGAAGGATTCTGTTTGGAAAGTGGAAGTCAGTCTTTACTTGCACAGTGCATTTGTGTAGCCAGGTACCACTACTCATCCTCAGTAACTTCTTACATTAGCTTTCACTTCACTATCAGTGAGCTTAATCTAGCCTAAAGTCTGGAATGCAGCATCCCTGAAAGTATTTTTAATATTCATATCCTAGAATGGAGGATGCAGGTGGGTCTTCAGTCTCTATTATTAATGTTTCGTTAAGTCGCAGGTGGGTCTTCAGTCTCTATTATTATGCCCAAATGGTCTTTGAACCAGTTTGTAATAGTCCATTTCATCAAGACTTTCCTGCTTTTTGGTTTTCACTGTACCAGCTACGTGCTGTTTGTTTACTTTAGTTTGGAGTTTTAATGCAATATCCTACTTGTATTTCTAATTGGCTATTTTTTTTATGTTTTTTTAAGTCTTAAACCAGTAAGGTTAATAATATTTTAGCATTGTCTGTAGAAGACTTAGGAATATGCTAAACATGTTATAAACGTAAGAAACCTGTTTTTAGTAACTGATTAATATAACTGAGTTATTGGTATTTCAGCATACATTCATGCACCTCTAGTCTATACCAGTGTTTTAAACATTAAACTTAAAATTCAGGGGGATAAAGGTTCCTCAACTTGAGATCTTCTCTCCAGATCTCCATTCTTTGGAGTTTCCATGAATGTGACCTGAAGAACTTGGAACCATTGACATTCAAGTGTAGGTAGGTAAGTGTTCACACCAGCGCATGCGTTGATTGCCTTCTCTCTCTTTGTACATGCATCTGTATTGCACCCCCTCAGTGCCTTTCCCCCTCCTCCCCTGTAGATCATGTAGGGCCTGTGTCATCTTGATACAGTGTAGTTTTGTGCTTTGGTTAGTATTTGTCTGTGATGTGTGTCAGGGGCAGTTGTAGAAAATCTTCAGACATTTATGATGTTGTGTTGTCTGAACACTGTCTCACACATACGTGTTTGCTGTGTATGGTTCTGGGTTGCACTGTGTGAGTTTCTGTGTTTGTAGGACCTCTGACAGAAGCTCATCTAGGGTTGTTGGTGTTTGTTCAGGGCAAATGTCATAGTCTCATTCTTGTTTCACGAACTGTTCATTGTGTCCAGAAAATACAAATTACTTGTGGTTCTACAAATTTCTTCCTGTTGGTCTTTAGAAGTCTTGCTCTTGATTTGGTTTATGATAGCCTGGAAGTCAGCTGTTCTCTGTTGAAGAACATTCACAAGCTTCCTTTAGACAAACCAAAAGTACCAGTGACAGAGTGATTTGCTTCTATCAGTAAGAATATCCCACACAAATAAGATCCCTACTTAATTGAAGACTTACTTAATGGTAACATACACAGTCTTAATTGAAATAGACTGAATCTGGAATAGTCTCCTAGGCTCATAGCCTGATTAAATAAGCAAACGAGAAAGTAAGGCGCTTTATTTAAAGTAATGTCTATCAAAATATCTGGAACCAAAACTTACTTGTAGCATGTTTTCTGTTGTTGCTGGGGTTTTTTTTTTTTTCCACCTGTATTTATTACGTCTGACAGTTACTTCATTAAAATTTAGAATTTTTCTCCCTGATTTCGTCCTTACACTCTCAACTCTTTAAAAAAAAAAAAAAAAAAATGGGTACTTCTTTGACAGTGACTCTTAAATGTTTGGTCTCTGAGCCCTTTTAGATTCCTAAAAATATGAAAGATCTTTAAGATTTTTTATTGTGTGTCTAAGTTATTACTAGCACTGCTTATAGTGATAGAAATTAAAATTTAAGTATTTACTATAACATTTTTAAAGTGATAAGCCCATTACTTGTTACTGTGAACAATCTATGAAAAGTGTTTTAAAAATAATATTGCTGAGAATAATATATCATTTTTACTGTGAATATTGTAACCAGAAAAAATACAGAAGTTATTTTTTAGTGTCACTGCCTGGGTTCAGCCAGAGTGCCAGTGTTTTTACCAGTCATTCTTTTCACACCATCAGCACACATATCACCATATTGAAAAAGAAAAAGAAAATACTGTTATTTGTATAAAACAGAATTTTTTTTTTTTGGCAGTTTTTTGGAAGGGTTTCAACAGTGTTCCAGGATACCTCTATCCATAAAGTATCTGCTTATTAAAGTTCATTTTTTTTCTCCTCTGGCTCTTCAATATCCAAGGAGAATTTATGTACACTGTGAGAAAATTTAGAGTCATCTGAACATGATTGTTGCTTTTAGTTGGCATCAGAGAAGCAGATATAAAAGAATGGACACAACTGGTCCAAATGAGTCAGTCCAGTTACATAACTGTACATTTTCTCTTGTGTGTGGTATGTGTGTTTTATGTGAGTATATAATTTATTTGGCTCCTGAGTAGTTTTTAAACATGTTTTCAAAAAGCAATTTTTTTTGCAAATTCCGATGATTCATACCATTTGGCTATGCTAGTCTTCTTAACAGCCTACTATAAGTCAGATGTTCCTATTGCAACTCGTATTTTAAAGACTTTCCTAAGCTCTACCTTAACTTTTTTCTTCTTTACCTGAAACCTAAATTGATGACATTTTTAAAGTAGTCCAAGGAAGTGACAGAGATGCCAGGCTAGGAGAGTGTCAGGAGCCTCATCCTCTAAGCGGCAGCATCCTGTTGTGTTACCTTCTGCGAATACTGTCCCTCCTCCAGTGCCCCTGCACTGCTGGATGTTTGCAAAGCTCAGTGACAGTACTGAGGGGGTGTGGGATGCTTCTGTAAGCAGTCGAAAGCAGAGTTTGACTCACTCAATGCATGCGCTAGTGCTCACGCTTACCTACCTGAGATTTAGTATTCAGCAGCTCTGCAGTATGTGACAAGGTAGTGAGAATGAGTAAATAGTACTGCTAAAGGGCAAAGGTTGCTGGGTCGGTCTGCCTGTACCAATGCTACTGGTAAGTAAGCAGAGTGACTACTGACTGGGAAAGGTTCTTGGTGCATGATCATTACAAATAGCATACTGGAAGTGGAAGTGTTCAGCCTGTGTAACACACCGCACTGTATTCGGTAGCATAAAGCATTCATTTAAATGCTTCATGATAGAGTCAGGAAAGTTTTTTTTGCATTAAAATTTGTAAAAGCAAATTATTTCATTGAATAAACTTTGTTTCCTTCATTTAGGATAAACCTCATAACTTTTCAAAACCGCTGCCAGTTTTGAAAAGTTCCATTAGATTGTTTGAACTGTAAGGGTAGCCGTCCTGTTTTCTCCGGTCAGGACCCAATAATCAAACCAGATCATTAGCCATAATTACCTACTTGGTTTTCAGGGACAATTATTAGTCTTTGACCATCTCTTCATAACTCATTTTAAAAGCCACAAAGATTAACAGCAGAGACCACCAGGCAAGGGATGAGCTGGCGTGTGAAAAAGCTCAACCCTGCACTTGTGTTCTTTTCTGATAGCCACCCACGCACACCCTCATCTGCAGGTTAAGAGCTGTGGAGAGTAAAAAAGGGATCAGTGGCTATCAGGGATTTGTGCTATGAAGAAAGTGTGTTTTGTAAGAAACAATTTTGTCTTTACCTCCCAGATGTATAACTAAATAATTTTTGAGAGAATTGTTAGCTTTTAGATAGCATATCATTTTTAAGGTGAGGGGGTCCCACCTTGGAAAGGACGCTACTGTCTTCAGACCTATGGTTGTCAGTACTACTCATGTGAACGCAGGGGTATCTCCTTCTCAGCTTCTTCTAAGAGGTGCTGCTCCCAGTGTTCATTAGGGCTAATTTACCTTCAACCTTGCTACACGTGTTTTATTATGACTGCCGTGAAGAAACATTATGGAGATACAAGGCATGTTTAGTGGCATAAAACTAATTAGTTCCTTAGAAACTGAACAATGGCAGCATTGACTTCACTTTCTTCACCTCTCAAGTCATTGCCTTATGCGGATGACCTGACTGTAATTAAGTAAAACTGATAAAGACATACTTTAGGTAATTCTTTTCCCCCTTGCTAAAACTGCATTCTTTCCTAGCCATCATCACAGAACGCTCTGCTTCCAAATATCCAGAACCAGCCACTTGACTACTGCTGCTGTTTTCTCTCATTATGAAGGAACTGTATTTTAAAAATTCTTCTCTTCATTCTTGGTCTCTCAACTTCCTGTTTTCCTTAGGCTTTCCATATATTCTGTGAGTTGCTGTTACACAGATGTTTCTAACCTTTTCATTTAAAGCCAGTGGTGTTTTAATATTTATAGATCTTAAAAGCCTGATCATCAAATGTACTAAAGCTATATGAAGACCCCATTTAGAAGAAAAAAACATTGGTTTGATAATATTTTAACAATTATTTTATTTCTAAATTCCTGCTAATCATTGAAAAGATTAAAAACTTAGGTCTTCTCAACTACTGTGATTTAAATACTCAAGTCAGTCAAATGGGTGTAGTTGGGCTAGAGATGGCTCAGCCCCTAAAGGTAGGCTCACAGCCAAACTGGCAAACGAATGGCCTTCATGTGCCTTAATTGTAATTCCAGAAGAACTGAGTTACAGAAGGTAACGCCTGCTTTCTGTTTGAAAATACAAGTCCTTCTTCCCATTTTCTCTTTCTGTTTCCACAGATTCCCTTCAAGCTCAGCTTATCAATATGGGCGTTATCCCAACCTTAGTGAAATTACTGGGCATCCACTGCCATAATGCGGCTCTTACAGAAATGTGTCTTGTTGCATTTGGGAACTTAGCAGAACTCGGTAAGTCTACAAGTCACAAGTGTTGTTAACTCATTAATGCTCCTACAGTGGCTATTTACTTCCTGAACCTGGGATCCAGTTAAATTATTTTAGTGAGTCTTCTAAGTATTCAAGATACTTTCTTAAGTGTTGAAAAAAATCCAATTATACCTTTTTATTAATTTGTTTACAACTATGACTTTTGCTTCTTTAATTATTGCTGTATGTATTAGGATTTAAATTTTAGGAGCTTTGCAAAGTATATAGCCCAGTAGAGTGCTTGTAAGACTTGACAAGAGGCCTGTGGCTCTACTCATACCAACACACACAAAAAATAAACATAATTTTTTAATAAATTATTTGATAGACCCTTAAAAGCATTAGCAAACTAAAGTGCTTCCTTGTCTTTTCACAAAATTCCTAGAAGTGACAGGTTTTATGTTGAGAGGGTGTGCGCCTGTGTGCATGCAGCACGGATTGAGTGTGGAAGGCAGAGGGTCGCTTACTGGAACTGCTCTGGCCCTTCTGCAGTGTGGGTCCCTGGGATTGAACTCAGGTTGAACTCAAGTGCCTTTACCCAGTGAGCCCTCTTCCAAGCTCCTGTGTATTTGTGTATGAGTATTATAGAGCAAAATTTCAGGAACCTTTGAAAACAAGAAGACAGGTAGAACAAGACCAACGCTGCAGACATTTCTTTGTAATAACAAAAAGGGTGGATTGCCTCAGCCCTTCCTCTCTTTTTTCTGTTCCATCTTTTTCTCTATTTCCTGTATTTCCTTCTCTCTCTTGTTTCCCCTTCCAACTTTTGGGATGAATCATTCCCACAGCCATGTTTATAATTCATAATGTTTACAGAAAGGCGTTGGTGTTTTGCCTTAACTAATGTTAAAGCATAAATATATTTATTAATCTTCCATTTTATAATGAAACAAAAGGCCCCTGGACTTTACTATTAGCTTTTCTAAAAGTTAGTGTTCTTTGTACACTATAAATCAGAACCTTTTTAGTACTTCAGTTTGACTCAAAGCTTAAACTAGTAGAGGTATCTGTCTGTCTGTGGAGATCTGATGACAACTTTGGTAAATCTTTCCACTGTAGGTTCCAGATATCAAACAAACTCGGGTTTGTGTGGCAAATGCTTTTACCTACTGAGCTATCTTACTGCCCTGGAAATATTTTTTAAAGTCTTTCTCCCTTTTTTTCCAGACACTTTCTCTCTTTAACTGTCATTCAATTTCATTTTTACATACAAGTAAAAAAAACACTCCTTTCATGGTTATATTTCTAAATCTTGTAAATGCTTCAACTTGAGGAATATGCAGAACTGCGACATGACTTCATAGGAAGGAAGTTAAGCGGCCAGCTTGATCCCTCCCGTGTTTTCACTGGGCCCAGAGAGCCCCGAGGGTTTCAAGGGTTGAGAAAGTTGAACAGGAGGTTGTGGCTGCATTGACTCCATTTGACCAAAAGCATGTGCAGACATAGGTGACCTAATGACAAAAAGCCATAAGCATTCAGGGATGCGTCTGACTTGTGTAAGTCAAAAAGTAGAGGCAGTGGAGATAGAGGATGTGATTAGGAAAGCTGTGTGTAAAAATGAAATTGAATGGCAGCTGAAAAGGGGAGTGTTTTATATCTAGATTTTTAGATGCTGGTTGACAGTGAACTTCTGGAGGGGAAGGGTTAGACATGCTAAAGGGGACAGGATGAGGCTTCAAGAACACCGGTGAATTGGCTTTCGAATATTACCTGTGAGCTTGTGTCTTAGTGATAGAATACATGCCCAAGGCCTTAAGTTTAATCTCTAACACTGCAAAAACAAGTAACAAAAATTCAGGAGTCGTGTCAGAAACAGGGCAGAAGCATTTCAGTTTAAGTGGTGCCAACGATGCAACATTGTCATCTTTTCTTCAGCAATGTAAAATATACTGCTCCGAGCAATTTCCTCCTTTGCATGAAGGCCTTCAAAGTATGAATTTATGACTTAGTGACTTTATCGTTGCTATAGCTACCTATACGTTATGCCAGGGAACTAATTTTATGGCCTCAAATGTAACTGGGTCAGAACATTTTCTCTAAAGTTTTAGATATTTTCTGTTTCAAGGGCATTAAAAGCCAATTTGATTGTTTCCTGTGTATGAAGAGCTGTGTGTTCAGTGATAGTACAAAGTGACTGAGTATCAAAAGTAATAGGAAAAAAATTCTGGGTTTAATTTTGTTTGCTTACTATAAATTCTTTTTTATTTTTCAGAGTCGAGTAAAGAACAGTTTGCTAGTACAAACATTGCTGAAGAGCTGGTAAAACTGTTCAAGAAACAAATAGAACATGATAAACGAGAAATGATTTTTGAAGTTCTAGCTCCATTGGCAGAAAATGGTAAGGAAAAAAAGACCTTTTGATGTTGGATTGTTTAGAGTTTTTCAGGTTCTTTCTTTAAATATTATTTAATTTTATTCTCTGCATTGGTATGAAGGTGTCAGAATCTATGGAAATGGAGTTGTAGATAGTTGAGGTACCATGTGGGTACTGAGAATTGAACCTTGGTCCTTTGGAAGAGCAGACTTCTTTAATGCCAGTTCTTAATTCAAAGCTCTTCTTTATGCTATTAATGTTGCTATATTTTATTTGTGTATCTCTAACATCAGCTATATTATCTCTTCCATGGCTGTATCTAAATTTAGAGAAGCTTCTTTCCAAGTTTGATTTTAAAGTCTCAACAAAGATGCTTCTGCAGTTATTTTTTGCTGTAATGTAGAAGACAGATGAGGGATAGGATGATGGTTCAGTGGATAAAGTCTTTGCCACTCAAGCATCAGGTCCCAGAACCCATGTAAATGTCATGTATGGCAGTGGAGAAAGGTGGAAACTGGCAGGTCTTTCTTTGGGTGCTGGCTCCCAGACAGCCTGTCCAGTTAGCACACGTCAGGTTCAGTGAGCCATCCTGTGTCAAAAAACAGGGTAAGGGATGATTGAGGAAGACTACCAGTGCCGACATCTGACCTAAACATGCACTGTCACACACAGACACACAGAGAATTTTAAGAAGACAAATGAGGTCAAGAGATTAAACTCCACTTAGGAACACCCATAAAGACAAACGATGATAACAGCTAGGATTTCTAGCCCTGTCAACAATGAGGATAAACATCCTCATTGGGCAAAACATTTTAAGAGAGGAACCCAAAAAAGATAAGAGTATATCAGGAAACAAACGCTATAAATGAGCTCTTAAATATAATGTCTACTGCATACTAAGAAGAGCCAGACACCGACTGACAAGGCAACACACTAAATTTATAAGAACCAAGAGACAACCTCAAATCTCCAGATGCTACAGTTATTGTCCACTGCTATAACGTAGGGATAGTGGGAGCTAATAAGGTTGTATTTGCTGAGTAAAGTGCTCACTGGGCAAGTGTGAGGACCCGAGTTCAAATCCCAGAACCGACTTAGCACCATGCACCTATAATCCTAGTGCACCTGGAACAAAATGGACGACAGTAGGCTGCTGTGCCTGGCAGTTAGGAGAGAGACACTGTCCTGAACAAGGCAAGGTAGGGACCAACACTTGAGGTTGTCCTCTGGCCTCTACATGTGCATCATGATCATCCACACTCAAAAACACACGCACGCACACACACACACACACGAGGAAAACAGGTCACTTACTGTGTGTCCAGAGAGAGGAAAAGCAATCTGAAAAAAAAAAAAAAAATCAGAATGGAAGCTTTAAATAATAAAAGTGCAACAATGCAGACTTAAAACGTAAACAAATAGAAATTCCCAGATTGAATTTTCCAGCCAAAATAATGGTTGTATTAATTTTAATGGCAAGTTTAACAGCCAGTTAGATACAGTTAAATCAAGGAACCCATAAACTGAAACATGGGTAGAAAGGAACTCTTGAATGAAGTCTAGGAAAAAGAGAAACAGTTACACAAAGGAAGATAGATCATCATAGATATTCTGGAAATCTATAGTGCAGAGGCAGCATTTAAAGACGTGTTGGCAAAGAAGATCTAAAATTGCAAAAGACACCAAGTTCATGGCCAGTGTGGTAGACATAACAAGTTTTTAGACAGCCAGGGCCACCACAAAGAGGCCCTGCCTCAAAAAGACTTAAAAGGAAGTGCATATATGCACATAATATAAAATACACCACAGAATACAGAGATAGACTCTTTGCTAAACAGTACTTGGAACACAAGGAAAAATATAGTTGGAAGCACATTCCCATTGCATTTTTTTCTCCTTGAGATGAGGGTCTCTCTGTTACTTATCTCTGGCTGTTCTGGGAGTTACTTTGTAAACCAGGCTGGCCCTGAACTCAGTGAGTCCACCTGCCTCTGCCTTCCAAGTGCTGGGATTAAAGACATGTACCACTATACCCAGCTCTGCATAAATTTTTAAAATTGATTTTAAATAAGGTCCTGGTTTCAATTTGCAATTTAAAGCTAGAAAGTTTATCTTTAAGTATAGCAGGCAGGTCCTTAAACCAAGCCTGAAAACCTGAGTTCAGACCCCAAAGCCACATTGTATAAGTAGAGAACCAATTCCCGCAAGCTGTCCCTTGTTCTCAACATGGGCATACAACACACACAATCTCAATCTCTCTCTCTTTCTCTCTCTCCAATGTAAAAATACAAAAAAACATTTAAAAATATGTCTCTCTTTTTCTTTCTCTTTTTCTCTCCAATATAAAAAAATACAAAAAAAAAACATTTAATATATATTTTTCAGTTATATAAAGTTAAATGAAAAATAAGAGCTAATGTAGCTCAGTAGGTCTTAGGAACGGTTATTTATTTGGTGAAATAATAAAATACGGAAGTGATTTATTGTAACAACCAGGTTTATAAGCTTGAGATACAAAGGGGAAGGACTCCTGATCAGAGAGAAATGTATAGAGGGACTTCTTGGATTGTTGACAATTTCTCGATCTGGGTAATGAAAAGTAACTGTCTTTTTCATAATTGCTTATGTTTAATATCTATTTTTCTGCAGCTATGGCTTTTCTCTGGCTTTTAAGAAAAGGTTCTATGATGGCTGATCTTGACTGCCAGACTGATTGGCTTGGGTTGAGAAGTTCCTAAGGTTAAAGCATAGCTCTGACTGTGTCTCTGAGGGTTTCCAGGATTAACTAAGAGGGTAGAGACTGCCCTGACACTGTGCAACAGCTTTCTAGTGATACCCTACCTCAGTGTGGCTGAAACAGGAGGCAAAGCATAACCAGCCTTGCTTTGTTTATTTAATACACGGTAGGTTATTTAACATGCACAGTGATACACCTCTGCATTCATGCATATGCATTCAAACAAGTGAGGAAGATAGTCCTTGTGTGGAACGGTGTGGATAAATGTGCTAGAATGTCTGCCTTGCCAAACATTTCTGGCTCATCTTAACTAAGGCAATTGAAGGTTTCTAAATCTGTGATTACAGTCAAACTGTAAAAAGAAAGATCTGCAAACCTTCATTTTGGCATATTTCACATGTTCTAAAATGCCTTAAATCTTGCTTTTCGGGAGAAAACTTCTTTTTCATCTCATTCGATAGTTCTACAAAAGTAAAATGTGACCCTGATCTTCAGCTGTTATGTCAAAGAATTACCGTAACCTCCTTACAGAATATCCATACAGCAGTGTTTTTATTTATTTCCTGTTTTCTCATCCACCTAAAGGCAGCTGAATAACTGCAGGGTACAGTGATAGACCCTTGAAAACTTGTCTCTGTATTAATTATTTGCATCTTAATCATTTTTTCTCTTTTGCTATACAAAAAGAACAGTTATGACTTTGTATCTGTATGGTTCAGGCTTTAGAATCTCTAAAATTTTTGTCTTAATTGTAGTTTTCAATTCTAGTTTCTGCACATCTTTAGCCCTAGTGCTCTGTAACCAAGGAAACAGCCTACTTTAAGTATGGCCAAATACAGGTGCATTTTCACAAAAGTATTTTGTATATTTAAAGATATTCAAAGGAAATTACATAAAAGAATAAATATTAAGTGTATGTATATTTTAAACTCTTTCACGTGACAAGCTGAAACTGCCACTGCTGTGTGTGACATACATACAGCTTATGGGGACCAATGACTAAAGTAAACTCCAAATAAAACAGCAAAATTTAAATTTTTGACAGATAGATATGGCTACAAATATAAAATCCTCAAGAACATAAGTGGTATAGTAATAGAATAAGATAGGAGGACTACAAAACAATAGACTTAATGTAGGGGTAAAGTTGCTATTGCAGTCAGGTGTTTTAAATGAAACTATTATATAAATTCTTTTTCTGAAATAACACTTTATCAATTAACCATGAGAAGACTTAATTTTTTCCTTTCAACTGTATTATGAACATTTTAAAGATATATTATGAAATAGAATTTAATGTAAGAAACCCCCATGTACTCATGACAATATCTTTTTTTAAACAATGAGCTTTATTTTTAAAAGATTAATTTATTATTTATACAGTGTTCTGCCTGCATGTGTGCCTGCAGGCCAGGAGGGGGCACCAGATCTCATTATAGATGGTTCTGAGCCATCATGTGGTTGCTGGGAATTAAACTTGGGACCTTTGAAAAACAGCCAGTACTCTTAACCCATAAGCTATCTCTCCAGCCCTGAAGTTACCTTTTTATTCAAAACCCGTAGTAGATGTGTTTTAATATTACATTACATAACAAATACGTATGTGTATTATAGACATATGTGTGTATAATATGCTATTGCCTTCTAGCATAATCATGGTATATAAAATATAGTGATACTGGTTGCTGTCAGAACTAAGAAAGACCTGATTTATTTGAGTACTGTAAGACATTTTGAGAGGATAAATAATTTTGAATAGAAAAATGATGTAAGTTTTGTGTAATCAAGCTGGACCATCAAATACGAAAGCTTGAAACTCAAGTGTTCAAAGGTAGGTTTTTGGTTTTTATTGAAGTTGTGCATTAACTAAGCTTAAAATATGCTAGTTAAAATTCTTCATAACAGATCACTTATACCAAAGGGCCTGTGTCATCAAATCTTCTGTTTTGTTCACGTTGCTCTGTAGATGCTATTAAACTACAGCTGGTTGAAGCAGGTTTGGTGGAGTGTCTTCTGGAGGTTGTTCAGCAGAAGGTAGATAGTGACAAAGAGGACGACATTGCTGAGCTTAAAACGGCTTCAGATCTAATGGTTTTATTACTTCTTGGAGGTGAGTTTTAGCTTTGCCAATCAAAGAACATGGTCATCAGACTCTTTAGACCTATTGAGCCATTTGTAAACACTATGCTAGGCATCTTCTTGTTTTCTTCTTTTGTTTACTGTTGCTGTGATGGCTTTGAAACTATATGCCTATGAAAAGAACAAAAAATGACAAACTCAAGAAAAAGTTATGTCTTTACTGTCTGTCTTCCAATATTTGAAGACCTGTCATGGAGGAGAGAAGACTATGACACCAGAGAACTAAAGACTGGACAGTTCTTGGAAACTTGAGCTGCAAAATTCATCAACTCCAGTGTCTGATATCTATTAATAACCTATTATAATATTGCCCTCATTATGAACCTAATGGTTTATGAGGTGTCTGTTTTCCTAGTTGGATATCTGCTTTGGAACGTGGGCTTGTTACTCCTAATTATATTTCTCTTATTTAACTATTTGTTTCATTTCCTTCCAGATGAATCCATGCAGAAACTTTTTGAAGGAGGAAAAGGCAATGTGTTCCAAAGGGTGCTTTCTTGGATTCCATCAAATAACCACCAGCTGCAGCTTGCTGGGGCACTAGCCATTGCAAATTTTGCCAGGAATGGTATGCACATTAGTTATTCCTTGTGAATAAAGTGTTCTGCAGTTTTTAACTTTCTGCTCTTCTTTCACATACACCAAAAGTGTACAGTTCAGAAATGTTTGTGTGTTGTTTCATTAATCTTTTAGGACTGAAATATTTGTAGTGAATTTACCAACAAATAACATTTTGTGTAGTCTTCTGAATTCTGAAGTTTAAAGATGAATGATCATGCAAGTGGTTTTGAATGCTTTGTGCTTCAAGTTTAGTGAACCCAAGCATATACATCTAATGGGAGATATGCTCTTTTTCCAGTCATGTTATTTTGGCTTTAATAATCTGAATAGTCTTTCTTGGATTATTGGGTCGTAACTTTATACCCATGTTTACACATGAGTAATCCTGTGGGTATACAGTATTTAGTTTATTAACATTTTAAAGGCACTGCACCTTGTAGCTTGTCAAATCTTGATGCTTTTGATAGTTAATCTAAGAACTCTTACTTTTACTAGGAAATAAGGAGTAATTCCATTTTGCTCCAATGTGTACACTATTCATAGATAACACAGGTTGAATGTCCCTTAATCCAATATGCTTGAGACCTTAAGCATTGTAGATTTTGGATTTTCTTAGATTTTGGGATATTTATGTAGACATTAGGCGATATCTTGGTCAGAAGACCCAAGCCTAAACATGAAACGTGTGTTTCCTGTACATGTGTGCATACAGCCTGAGAATAAGTTAGGTGATATTTTTAGAGCCTCTTAACTGTGCTTGCTTGATCACATGGATTCAGTTATAGAGTTTGTACACTCAGAGTCATGTCAGTAACCCACATTCTCAGGCATTAGAGTATTTCAGACTTTGAAGTTTTGCTTCAGGAATGTTCAGCCTATAAACTATCATTCCTGAGTCACTTTCTCCTCCCTCTAAAAGAACTGTTTAGTAATGGCTTTAAGGCTGGCAGAATATTAGGCTTGCAATGAAGATCAGTGGAGAGTATAAAAGATTTAGTGCAGCAAAAGACTTATGCATGTTTTTCTAAAGGAAGAAATTTGCCTTTGCTTTGTGTAGATGGAAACTGTATTCATATGGTAGACAATGGAATTGTAGAAAAACTCATGGACCTACTGGACAGACACGTAGAAGATGGGAATGTGACTGTGCAGCATGCAGCACTAAGTGCCCTCAGGAACCTAGCCATTCCAGGTAAGCTGGGGCAGCTGTGTGAGTCAGAGAGACCAAATGTTAAATATATTTTCTGAGACAGTACCAAACTGATCTCTTTTTTTTTAATATACATAATTTATTCACTTTACATTCTGATTGTAACTCCCTGCCTTGTCTCCTCCTGGTCGAACCCGCCCTCTCTCCTTCCATCCCTCTATCCTCCCCACCCACAACCCAGTCATCAAAGGCAACACCCTCCTCCCCTACCATTTGATCCCTGCCTATCAAGTCCCATTAGGACTACCAGAATACTCTTCTGCTGTGGCCCGGCTAGGTTGCCCCGCCCTGGGGAAGTGATCAAAGAATAGGCAACAGAGTCCATGTTAGAGGCAGCCCCTGTTCCCCTTACCAGGGAACCCACATGGAGACTGAGTTACCTGTGGGCTACATCTGAGCAGGGGGTCTAGCTCCTCTCCATGTGTGGTCCTTGGTTGTTGCATCATTCTCTGCAGGACCCCCTGGGCCCAGATCTCTAGAATTTATCAGTTTTTATGAGCTCTTTGCTTTCATTATATCACATGCTTAAGCTTCTTAAAGTATCTTCAGGTAAATTAAGATGTGACATCAATAAACAGAGTTCCCTAAAAAATAGTTAATTAAGGTAGTGGGCTCCTTTTGGGTTTATTTCATTCTATGAGCATATACATAGTTTTTGAAAATAGCCTTGATGTATCTTTGTATCAACAGTTTTGAGCTATGGAATGACATTGTTAGAGAAAATTACATGGATGACTGTTAAAGCTAATTCTTTTGTCTATTTCCTAAAATTAAATTTATGGCAAAGTAAAATAGTGTAGTAACAGGAAGATCCAATCAAAATGTATTTGATTTGTATAGCATACTGGTAGTATTTAATAATGGCAGTCACATTTATATTAGTACAGTTGAGTCAAATACAGTGATAAAGAAAAACACTAAAGCTAACTAAATGCTTTAAAATTGTGTTTTAAAAAACTAGTATGATCTTTGTATGTTATATCTGAAAACATACATAAAAAATACCCAATCTCATGTTTTATTTGCTCTACTCCTAGGCCAGGGGACCTGAGATAGGCTGTATCCCAGGCCAGTCTCAAATTCACTATGTAGGTTATGAGGACCTTCAACTTGTGATCCTTTCATCTCGACGTTCTGTGCTCTTACTGCTAGCATACGGCAGCATGCCCAACAGCTTCACTCTTACCGTTTCTAAACAGAAAGGTATAAAACAGGACCTTAACCAATGCATGGATCTGGAAAAGACCATCCTGAGTAGGGCAACCCAGACCCAGAAAGATATGCATGCTATATACTCACTTATAAGTGGGTATTGGCCATATACAACACGAGGACCATACTACAACTACAGACCTAAAGAAGCTAAATAACAAGAAGGACCCTAGAGAGAATGCTTAATTCTCATTCAGAAAGGCAAATAGAACAGACACCAGAAGCAGTTGAAGAGAGGGAACAGGATGGGAGCCTACCATAAATATCCTCTGAAAGATTCCACCCAGTAGGGGATTGACACAGATAATGAGACTCACAGCTAAACTTTGGGCAGAGTGCAGGGAACCTTATGGAAGGGGGGGGGGTGAGGACCCAGAGAGCACAGGAGCTCCACAAGAAAACCAACAGAGGCAACAAATCTGGGCCCAGGGTTCCCTGTAGGGATTGAAGCACCAACCAAGGACCAAGCATGGAGAGGACCTAGACTGCCTGCTCAGATGTAGCCCATAGGCAGCTCAGTCTCCTTGTGGGTGTCCTAGTAAGGAGAGCAGGGGCTGTCTCTGACATGAACTCTATTGCCTGCTCATTGATGACTTGCCCCTGGCAGGGCATTCTTGCCAGGCCACAGAGAAAGAGGATGCAGGCAGTTCTGATGAGACTTGATATCCCGAGGTCAGATGGCAGGGAAGGAGGACTCCTCCTTTCTGAGGACTAGGGGCGAGGGATACGGGGGGAGGCGGGTGAGAAGGAGGGAGAATGGGACTGGGGTGAGGTCAAGGGAGGGCACTAAAATTGAGACATAAAGTGAACAAATTTTAAAAAAATAAATTTAAATATAAAAAATACAAATAAGGCCTTAAAGCTACTAGGTACTAGATATTTGTTGAACTGAATGTTTAATTGAGAATGTTAGCACCATTCTAACTATGGTCTCTCTCTCTCTCTCTCTCTCTCTCTCTCTCTTTTCCAGTTATAAATAAAGCAAAGATGTTATCAGCTGAGGTCACAGGGACAGTTTTGAAATTCCTTAAATCTGAAATGCCCCCAGTTCAGTTCAAACTCCTGGGAACGCTAAGAATGTTAATAGATGCACAAGGTAAAAGAAATGGTTTCCAAGTCACGTTCTTGTTGCAGAGTTCTTACTTATGTGCCCTTAAGCTTAAAGGGGACTTGATTTTCTAGTTGTCAGAATTATGGACTTGTAAGAATAAATAGAGAACAAAAGTTTTAAAAAGATTGATTGTAGGCTTAATTCTCCTGCTAAATGATTTTGAGTGAAAATCATGTCGTATATTATGGTTAATACCTAGGTGCTATATGTGTTGATGTATTACCCATGTTTGCCTTGTTTTAAAAACCATGCTTTCGTACAGCGATGGTCAAAATTTTTACAGATTTATTTTCTATTTTTTCTGTTTGGAAAAAAACCTATTTAAAAACACTCCTGGGAGTGAACTGGGTTTGTTTGCTTGCTGTTTTTATGCATTTCCAATTTCTTTATCCTTCTTTGTCTTGATTGCTTCGAGTCCTTTGAAAACCGTTTGTTGCCAGAGCACTAACATTGTTAGGTATAACCAAGAATATGAAGTTATGTGGTCTTGAGTCTGTGTGAGAGCCTGTAACATTATAGCATAAGCTAAATAGCTCACCGGGCAGGGATCATTCCCAGCTCTTGCTTTTATAGAATTGTTGCACTGGGTTTTTAGACCTGTAATTTTCCTCCCTGCGCCTGCTTTCGTGTCAGCCCATTGCCTGTCAGTGATTCCATCTGGTTGTGCTTTGCCTTGTTTCCTATAGCAGAAGCTGCTGAACAACTGGGAAAGAATGCTAAATTGGTGGAGCGTTTGGTTGAGTGGTGTGAAGCCAAAGATCACGCCGGTGTGATGGGAGAGTCAAACAGACTGCTCTCTGCCCTCATCCGACACAGTAAATCAAAAGTAAGTCCCAGGGGAAGCCATAGGCTAACAATCATCAGAGTGGACATCTTGGGAGCTGGCCATTCTAGATTCTGCACCACATGCTGACATAATCATGTATTTCCTCAAAATATCCTAATCTCCAATGCCAAGAGGAAATAAACATTGAGGTTTTCATTCAGTTCTGCTACATCCTACTTAAAGGTAAGGCTTTGGTGGTAGGAGCTAGGAGAAGAGGGAGAAGGGCTTTTTCAGGTGTATATACCTAGGTGTCAAAAGGGACAGTTTTAAAGGAAAATAGCAAATGCAGGTCTGTTGGAGAGAGGGGAGGGGGGGGGGGGGTTGTTGGAATTAAGGTGAATTCTATATGCCAGGTAAAGTATCTGGGTTAGAGTCTCCAAAAAAGTAGGTCTGCCACCTCCTTCCCTCCAGTGTTATGGGGATTAAATCAGGTTTGGATATTCTAGGATGTGCTCTATGAGCTACATCTCCAGCTTTTTTTTTTTTTTAGAGAATTTCATTTTCTTGCCCAGGCCACCTTGGAAGACTGAGATGAGGCATGTGCCACCATACCCAGCAGAATTATAAAATTCTTAAAGGATTTTAACCAGTAGAGTATCATTATTTTGAGTCTATTTAGAAAGATGGCTTTAGTCCCAGTCTGACTTGGGCAGATGTCACTCTTATTTATAAACTTGAGACCATATCTTGTTCATAGTCTATCAAGAAAATCACCCATATGGAGAAGCTGTTTAATAAAAGTGATGAGGTCATTGGAGAGATGGTAGACATTTAACTAAGGAAATACTGAGGTGCCTGTTCCCATGAGAGGTGACATGCTTTTACTTAGAAGCTTGGACTTAGAGATTGTCATTACAAACATTCATTCATTCATTCCCTGCTATTCTATCACACGAACTGTTCATTTGAAAAGAGAAAAATGAGAGTCCATAGACCTTCTTTAGGGGGCTGTGTGCATCTATTAATGTTTTCTGGTCTTTACTCAGTAAGCTCTTAAGAAAGTTCCATGAAACTCTTTAATGATTTTAAGAATTATATCCAAGATTCAAAAAAAAGCTGTTATCTTGTTACTAAGTAGGCAATAGTTAGAAAAGGTTTTTAAAGCCTCATTTCTCTGGGACAGGTGAGGTGCCTTAGTTAGTGGGGCTTATCGGCAAGCCTGATTCCCTGAGTTTGATCTCAGAATTTGACAAGATAGCAGGAGAGAATTCCCAAGAATTGTCCTCGGACCTCAGTATGCACTTACATACATGCATAAACACAATAAATACTAAGAACAACTTTAAAAGAGGTTAAAGTGAAACACTTAACAGCTGTTAGTAGAGTACAGCTGCCCATGAAAATGTAACTGTAACTCTTAGATGCCACTAATTTGGAGTGTGAACTGTGGGCTCAAAGCAATGATATTTTCTACAAATAGTTGATTCAAACCTTTATGTATGATAGAAACATAAAGGAAAATATTTTTAAATAGTTTAGAAAGTTAGAGAAGTAGTCATAGTTACAGTTAAAGTTTTACAGCATTGAAGCTAGCCGGAAGTAACTTTAATTACTTTGAAATTTAGGTTTTCTCTAAAATCACAAGTAGTGTGAAAGATACAAGAACTGTGACTGATAACCATATCTGACCTTTCTGCCATATGTCATACATGTCCTTTTTATAGAATAGCTTTGTAGGTGGTACAAAAACGTGAGAGATAAATCATAGGACAGATGAAGTCACTTGACAGAAGACAGGCTGAGGAGTTGGCTTTGTCAAAGTCAGTGTTGACCCTAGGACTTACCCACTATGCTCCTACTCTATGCTCCTCACCGCCTCTTCCTCAGAGTCCCAGTGAGATAGGGGAACCGAGAATGGTGGCAAACATTCTATTTGTGTTTTGTTGTTGTCTGTCTTGTTTTGTGTTTGTTTTCGGCGTGGGGAATGTGCATGTGAGCATTCACACGCACATGCTCTCTCTCTCTCTCTCAATATTGTTTTGGTTTGATTCTTTTGCATTTATAATCTCCGCTTCCTTCCCTCCAAACCCTCTCATACACTCCATATACCCTGCCTCAAATCTCACTAATTGTAGGTATATGTTTGTTTTCAAGACTGGCTGACTGGGACTGGACATCCTGTTGGTGTGCTCTTCCCTGGGGAAGACGATTTCTCCTATCTCAGTCCTTTGACATGTAATTTTTCTCAAATTCGTCAAATCAAACAAAAGAGTAAAAGATAATCTTTAAATGTTTTAGTTAAAAAAAGAAGAAGAATTTTACCTATCGTACCTAGAGAATTGCTTTGGCAGTATCATGAACATTTTTAAAGCAAAATTTTTTACATTCCAACCTTGTTTTCTGTTGATTCTGATAAAACATACGTTTGGGAAAATTATATTTTTATTTCTTTAGTTTCAGTAGCTTCTAGACCTCTCTGTTCCTTGACAGGAAATGCAGTGGTCTTTTTCACTTAGGCAATTTAAATTGTCATCTTTTGATGAATTTATTTAAAGCTAAGAACTTTTCCGTGATGTATAGTTAAAATACAGTGATTCATACAGGACATGGTCAGAAAACCACTCAACTCAACAATGAGTTGACTGATTGGAATGCCATCTCTTTATGTGTAAAATTAAAGTTTATAATTCTATGATATTTATTTATTGTAGGATGTAATTAAAACCATTGTACAGAGTGGTGGCATCAAGCATCTAGTTACCATGGCAACTAGTGAACATGTAATAATGCAGAATGAAGCTCTTGTTGCTTTGGCACTAATAGCAGCTTTGGAATTGGGTAAGTACCTTGCTGACAAACTTATTTTTTCCTATTTTTATCTTGGATGAGAGGAAGCCTAGGAGTGGAATTGAAATCAGATAGAACCTTGGCTGTGGAGATATTTTGCTAGTGTGTACATCCGAATATATGGAAAATCATATGTAAGTTGCTGTCACAGGTGTTTCCTATGGCTGTATTTTGTGTAACATTTTTAGACCTGCACTTTCAGGCTTAACTTTAGGTGCTATTTTATTTCAAAGATACATAAGAGATTTTCAACAGGCATTATAGATATTTGAAACGAAACCTGGTTCTCACAGCAAGCATCTGGAACTAGGTTTCTAGCTCAGTTGGCAGAGTATTTGCCTAGCATGCACAAGGCCCTAAGTTTGATCCCCACGTGCCTGTTAATAACCTCTATAAATGTTGTTCTATCACTTTATAGTACTGCCTTTATCTGAACTCTTACCTGTCTTTTGTGTGTTAAAGCAGAGTTAAATGACACTGTTAGTTTTTGTCTACGCTTGCTGATGGCTGTGTACAGCATCTGTGTGGGCAGAGTTATCCATGAGAAGCTGATGGGTGGCACCTTTTGCCTCAGGAACCAGAGCCTGGTACTGTCAGCCAGGGATTGTGTATCAGAGCCACATAACCTTTGGCTAAAACCCAAATCGCTTTACAGCACATCCTGCTCATAGGGTCTTTTTAAGTATAGAATTTTGTTCTTTGCAAATATGAATAATTTGGCCTCTTCCTTTCCTATTGTATCCCTTTTTATATCTTTCTCTTACTGCACCAGCTAAGACACTACATTAAACAAGAGTGGAGAGTGAACAACCTTATTATGCTCTAGATCCTAAGAGGAAAAGCTCCCTACTTTTTTCCAAAGTTATTATATCCCCCTTAACAATGAGTGTAGTGTTTAGCCTGTAATATGTTAAGGTATGTATTAACTAGGTATTCCTAGTTTCTTCAGTACTTTTATCATGAAAGGATGTTGAACAGTCTCAGATACCTTTTCTTTGTCTATCGTGATGTCCTTAAGTCATTTTCTATCGTGTGTTCATTGGTTTTCATGTTGAACAAGGCTTGCAACCCTGGAATGAAACCAAACTATTTGTGGTTCATAATAACTTTAATGTATTCTAGGATTTGATTTGTAAATACTCTGTTGACAAATTTTGGTTGTTGTGTTCATCAGGGAAATTGGTCTGTCTTTTTCTTAGTTTTTATCTAGTTTGGGTATCAAGGTGATAACAGTTTGAGGAGTACTGGCCTTAGTCTTTAGAAGCTTGGCAGAATTCAACAGTGAATCAGCCTGTGGCTGTTCATTACTGCTTCAGTCTCACTGCTTGTTACAGGTTGAACAGTTTAATTTTGGTAGGTCATGTGAGTGAGAAAGCAATCCGTTTCATGTGGGTTTTCCAGCTTTGGAATCTTAAGTTTTCAAAGTCCCTTTAATGTCTAATGGATTTTGTTGGCATGTGTTTTAACAACCCCCTTTTCATCTCTAATTCTATTAATTTGGGTCTTGTCCTTTAGTTTGGCTAAGGATTTGTCAAACATCTTTTTTTCCCAGGGAGTCAGGTCTTTGATTATGTACATTATTCTTTTAATATTTTTCATCAGCTTCTTCCCTAATATTCTTTCTTGCCATCTGTTGTATTTGGTGGCTTCTTTGGTTTGCTAGCTGTGAGAGCTCACTATTTGTGTGTGTGTGTTCATATCTATAGCCTTTTCTTTTAATATACCTTCACTGTATCCCAGATGTCATGATAGAGATAATACTGTTATTTTCTTAAAATTCTAGGAATTTCATTTCTTGTTTTTTCAATGACTACTGTTCATTTAATAGTGTAATTTTTAACATTTAGGTATTTGTATAATTTCTGAGGTTTCTTTTGCTGTTAATTTTCCTTGCTATGATCTGCTAAGATAAAAGGAATTATTTCAGGCGTTTTATTTTGTTGTTGATTTGGGGGCATCTGCTAAGGGTTGTCTTGTGATCTGGAATATGATTAGTTTTAGAAAAGATTGCCTATGCCACTAAGAAAATGTGTGCATATTCCTTATTGTTTGGGTGGGATATCCAGCTGGGCTCTGGTACAAAATTTAGCTTTGAAGTTTCCTTGCTGGTTTGGAAGATCCACCTTAATGTGAGAGTGGAATGTAGGGAGGGCCTGCTATGACTGGTGGGACCCATGTGCTCCTGTGTGTTTGTGTGTGTGTGTTTGTGTTGGAATTCAAAGCCCCACGATTTGGTTCCTAGACTTCATCTTGTCTTCCTGATGAACTGTAGTCCACCTTGGCTCCTGACCGCTCCAGAGCTGCAGTCTACTCAGTGGAGTGCAGGAATGGGTTGCCTTTCCTGCCAATGAAAGGGTTAAAAGGCAGAAAAGAAAGTTTGGAAAGCCAGATTTTATTCAAAGTGAAAGCAAGAGAGAAAGCAAAAGCACACTCCTCCTGCAAGGAAGGGATCAGCACTGAACTCCATCCTTCTGCAAGGTGCTCTCTGGTTGATTGGCATAAAAACTAGAGTGGGCTAAGTTTTTCCTATGTAGCCTCCCTGTTGGTTCACTCAATGGCTGACTGGTTTGCAGTCTATGTCCAACTGCATATGCCTGGGGCAAGCAAGTCTGCACCGTCCAGCTCCCAGAAGAAGAAACAGGAAGTAGGTGCCATCCCCACTGTTTCAGGACATGCCATGAGGAAACTGTCTACCCCAGGGCTCCCTTTCCCTTAGCCATTTTACCTTCCAAGGGAATAATCCTAATTAATCTCCTTTGTACTAGCTTGCATTTAGCCATTTGCTTGGTAGATTTATGTATCCTTTGACTCTCAGTGTTTGTACATCTTAACTGTGTTCCTTGGAGACAGCAGATCATCTTTCTAAAATTCATTTATTCTGTTTCTTTTAATTGGTGGATTAGGGTCATTTGCATTTAAAGGTATCGTTCAGAAGGATTTGCTGTCTCCAGTGATAGTGTTATGTGATAGTCTGGTTGGTTGGATTATCTTCCTTCTGTTACCATTAATAATTTGTTACATTAGGTGTGACTGAGTCCCTCTTGGCTCTCTGTTCACCTGTTCCTCTCATGGGATGTATACTTGCTTTGTGTTCATGGGTGATTGTGTTGGTGACAGCAGCTGCTACTCTTGCAATACATACCCCTTCCCTGCACAGATGTAGCCCATGGCAGTTCAGTGCCCAAGGGTGTTCCATAGTAAGGGGAACAGGGACTGTCTCTGACATGAACTGATTGGCCTGCTCTTTGGTCACCTCCCCCTAAGGGGGGAGCATCCTTACCAGGCCACAGAGGATGACAATGCAGTCACTCCTGATGAGATCTGAAGGATCAGAAGAAAGAGGAGGAAAACCTCCCCTATCATTGGACTGGGGGAGTGGTATGGGTGGAGCAGAGCGAGGGAGGGGGTTTGGGAGGGGAGAAGTGAGGGAGCTACAGGTAGGATACATAATGAATAAGCTGTAATAAAAATGTAAAAATAAAATAAAAAAAGAATCTTCTACAGTGCTGGCTTGCTTGTCGTGAATTGCCTTAATTTCAGTTTGTCTTGAACTGTCATTTTTTTATGAGTTTTAAGAAATAATTATGTTATACAGTAATTTTGGTGTTTCTCATTTACTGTCAGGGCTTGAACTATTAGTTTTGTGTTCTACTGGTCTTTAAGAATGCCTAATGGAAGATCCAGTATTTTGGTATTTTTTTTTCTTTACATCTTTTAATAGTTTCTTTGTATTGTTGCTATCTTGACTGTGATACATCATGCAGAGGTTCTTCTCTGGTCTAGTTGTTGCTTCTCTGGATAAAAATTGCCTACCGCAGCTTCTCTTTCCCTTGGGCCCTCAGGTTTGATTTCTTGAATGTATCTCAGACTTTCTTGGGAGTTTTTGGCATATTTTTTTCTTCGTGTATATCTGAATTTATTATTGTATTTTCTTTTTTTTGCTTTGTCTTATCTTTTCTGACATTTATTTTTTTGGTGAGATCAAGGTTAAAACGCAAAATATAGAATAGCAAATAGTAACTAAGGCACAGGTCTTTAATCCTAGCACTCAGGAAGCAGAGTTCAAGACCAGCCTATTCTACAGAGTGAGGTCCAGGACAGCCAAGACTACAAAACACTGTGTCAAAAGAAAAAGAAAAGTTAGTTTAGGTTTTGGATTTTTTTTTTCTTTTCTTTTTAAGGGAGCTTACCCAGAATTTCAGCTTTCTTTTTCACACCCTACTCTTTTCAAAGAGATTTTCACCGATCCTTTTTGGGGTGTTCCCTATGACTAGTATGTTTCAGTGTTTAGCCTGATCTCACTACTACCATCCTCAGTGACTATGACATTCTTTGTTTCGTATTGAAGGTCCTGCTGAGAAAGATCTTGAAAGTGCTCAGCTTGTACAGATTTTACACCGACTGCTAGCAGATGAGAGAAGTGCCCCAGAAATCAAATATAATTCCATGGTACTGATCTGTGCTCTCATGGGATCTGGTAAGTATTTCTATCACTTAATATCAGTATATGGCTTCTGTCAAATAGTAAACATGTAATCATAGTAAATGGTGGCTTTGTGTTTAAAAAAAAAAAAACAAAACAAAAACAGTAGAAATTAGTTTTTAAAAGGATACTGGAACTTGCCCTCAGAGGGCAGAATAGGGTGTCAGAAACCCTGAAACTCTAGTTATAGGCAGTTGTAAGCTACCAAATTTGGGTGCTGGGAACCAAACTCAGTCCTCTCTCTTACAAGAGCAATATATGTGCTCCTGGCTGCTGAGCTATTTCTCCAGCTCCACTTTTAAATGGAAACTCTTCCCAAGGGATTCATCTATAGTAGAAGGTGTCATATAGTAAATACAGCAGAAATCTAATTATGTTTATTAATGCCAAGATATATTTTTCTATAAAGTAGTAGTTTTGGTATTATATGCTGTAGTGTTAGCTAAAGAGTTCATTCAAGAAATCATTGATGTATGTACCATGAATACTTGGATGTGTATTCACTTGACTGTTACTGAGTTTTGAGAATGTTTTACAAGCATCAGTTAAATTCTGTGGGATTGTTGTCATTTTCTGTATTCTTACTGATTTCCTGAGAGTTGTCAGTTCATTTTTTTTATTCACTTTTTAAAATTTTATTTATATTTTTATAAATTGCATTTATTCACTTTGTATCCCCTCTGTAGCCCCTTCCCTCATCCTCTCCTATCCCTCTTTCCAAGTTCACTGATAGGGGATGTCTTCCTCCCCTTCCCTCTGACCCTATCCTATCAGGTCTCATCAGGACTGGCTGCATTGTCTTCCTCTGTGACCTGGCAGGCTGTGCCCCCTCAGGGGGAGTGTTGTCAGTTCTTGAGAGAGGAGTATTGCAGCCCTTCTTGATCCATTTGTGTGTCTGTCCTTCTCATTGTATCAGCTGCTTCTTAGAATGCTGTAAAACTGTGTTGCCAGGCACATACGGCTTTAGGGCTGCTGCAGCTTTTTGGTAGGGTAACTCTTCTGTACTGTTCCTCTCACTCTCTACTGACTTCCTTACTCTGAAGTCTGATTTATGTGGTGTTAACTTAGTTACTCCTACTTACACTTTAGAGTAGCATTTTCTACTGTTAGTTTCAGTTTACAGTGTTGGTAAGTTTGAAGTATCTGTAGGTAATCTTAACTTGAGTCATTTTATAATCAACTCTTCCAGTGCTTTTAATTGGTTTACTTTTAGACCATTTATATTTAATGTAATCAGAGGAAGTTTTCCCTTTCTATTTAGATAATACCTCTCAGCCATTCTACATTATCTACCAACAACAAATTCATTGTTTTTCCTCCTTTAAGAACATTTCATTAACCTCTTTACTCACAAAAAAATATTTTCTATAGTCAGCCTATTTTTGAGCATAGTTTTTTTCTGTCTATAAGTGAAAGATATGGTCTTTCATAGATTCCTAATGAGAAATCCACTGTGTTCTATTTGTTTCCTCTATGCAGTATTTTTTATTATTATAAAATATGTCCTGAAGCAGTTTTGAGTTTATCCTGCTTGAAGTTTGTTCAGTTTTTAAAATCCATATGGGTTTATCTGTGTTATGTCTTCTATGACGTAGCCTTTAGCCACTGTTTCTTGAGACTCATTTTAAAGGTCTGTTTTGTCTTTTTCTTCTTGTTCATGGTCTCTATCGCACAGATGTGAGATCTTTAGTCATAGTCCTATAAGTCTCTAGGTGCTTTATCGTCTTTCTTCTATTTCATTGTTAATCTGTTATTGTCCAGACAGTAATTTATGTTGTCTCATTTTAAATAGTTGTTTCGCAGTTATTTCCTCACCATTTTATTCCAATATTGAATATATCAAGTTTTATTTCAGTTAGTTTACTTTATTTCTAAAATCCCATTTGCTGCCTTTTTTGTGTGTTTTCTACTGCTGAATTTTTTGTTCAGTTGTTTCAAGCATATTCATAGCTTTCTGTTGAGATAGGCTAATTGTAATTAAATACATACAAACACAGTTTTATCCTACCAACCATTTTTCAGCGTTCAGTTCAGTAGCAGTAAATATATTCATATTGCTTCTTGACCATCATCATCTATCTTTACATTCTTCTTTATTTCCCCAAGCTAAGTGATCTTGAATTCACTAAGCAGTAACTCCCAGTTGTCCCTATCTTTTTGCTTCTGGATACTACAATTCTGTATTCTGATTATCATCATTATCATAGCATTATGACATGTAAATTGAATAATGAAACATTTGTTCTAATGTCCAGTAATGTCCCATTGTGTGTATATGACAATTTTATTCCCTCCTTGATAGGCATTTGTCTTATTTCTACTTTGCCTTTTTGGGAATATTGCCACTTAACACTGGGATAAAAATCACTCTTTAAGTCCCTCCTTTCAGTCCTTGGGGAGTGTACAGAGAAATGGTCATGTGGGACTGTATGAGAACTACGGTCTGTTGAATATTTGGAGGCATGGCAGAGTGCTGTTTTCCAGAGTGGTTTGGCCATGCAACATTCCTGGCAGTAACGCAGATGAGTTCACATTTCTCAGCATCCCAGCAAACCCCTCTTATGAAGAGTACTGCAGTGAATGAGGGCTGATTGTTATGATTTGCCTTTCTGTGGTCATCAGTGATGCTGGGAATCTTTTCATGTGCACGTTGGAAGTTGTTGTGAATGTTAATTTGTACAATTCCTTCATATGTCCTGGACATTAGTCCTGTGTCAGATGTGTGATTTATAAATATCCCCTGGTCCACTGGTTATCTTTTAATTCTGTTGATAATGCTCTTTGATATATAAAAGCTTTTTATTTGGATGAAATACCATTGGTTCATTTTTCTTTTTGTTGTCTATATGTTTGTTTCTGTATCCAAGAATAAAGTACAGGTTTTAGATTATTGCTCCATTGTGAGAGAGAAGAGAGCATCAGCTTCATTCTTTTCCATATGACCATCCAGTTTCCTTGCCACCATTTGTTGAAAAGCCTTGCCCTTTCCTTACCAATCTCGGTATCCTCATCAAATCATCTTACCACATGTGAGGATTTCGTTCTGGTTTCTATTCATTTGTCTGTCGCTGTAACAGAACTACACTAAAGTCAAGAAATGAGAGCTGTCTGGGTTGTTCCTTTTCAAGATGGTTTTGTAAATGTGAGGTCTGTTTGAGAGTCTATGTGACTTGTCAGGCATGGCCCCATACACCTTTAATCCCAACACTTTGAAGGCTGAGGCAGGTGGATTTCTTTGAGCTCAAGGCTAGACTGGTCTACATAGTGAGTTCAGGGACAGCCAGGGTGATGTAAAGAGAACCTGTCTCCAACAACAACAAAAAAAAATTATGTGACTTTAGATTCCTTTTTTTCTGTTTCTAATAAAAGATTAATTCTGGTGTTTGATGTTGGTCACACCAGAATTAACACATCAGGAAGCAAGGTGATGACCCTGTGGATAAAGGCACCTGCCATCAAATCCTGAAAGCCTGAGTCTAGTTCTTGGGATCCACCTGATTGAAGGAGACAATGAACTCCCACAGATGGTTCTTTGACCACAGCACATGCTCTGTGTGTGCAGAACACACATGTAAATAGATGCAAATAAAAAATTAAAAATCCCACCAATTGGGGAGCACTGATGATATAAAATATTAGACCTCATTCTTGCCAGTACTGGGTTCTTAATCATACTAGGAGTCCTGTATTTTCTCACAGTTAAGGCTGAGTGAGTCAGAAAAGGCAGGCAGGGAAATCTGAAACAGAGGTGAAAATCTACTTACTAAAAGTATATGAAGTGAAACACTTCCATCTGTCATAAAACATAACAGGTTTCTAATAAACTATTTCTGTGGGGGTTAAGTTGTAGATAACTGAACGTTGAGGTAACACAATGAGCTGTGTTTACAGCTTATTACCCTAAGCAACTTTAGACTGTAGAGCCTGATGTAAATCTTTATAAATGACAGTGCAGCCCTAAAGGAGACCTTGCTAGGTACTGTTGGGACTCATCCCTGGGTTATGCCTAGGTTGATAGCTTGGTCTAGCCAATCAGTCAGGTGTACGTTTTGGGTAGACTAGAACAATCCAACAGCAATGTGTGCATTATCTTGTTTTTCTCTTCCAGAACCTCTATACAAGGAAGTGCAGGATTTGGCCTTTCTAGATGTCGTATCCAAACTTCGAAGTCATGAGAACAAGAGTGTTGCCCAGCAGGCCTCGCTTACGGAGCAGAGACTTACAGTGGAAAGCTGAGAACTGCCCCTCCTGGCACAAGGCATCCCGGCGCCGATTACCCTTCTGTTCTCCACCCAGCTGCTTCTTCAGCTCCATTCTCTACTACATCACTTGTGCATGCGTGTAATGTTCCAGTACCAACTGAAGAACTGCTTATAGGTACCTGCCTAATAAGATTTCTAAACCCATAGTTAATGTGAACATGACTGTCAAGACAAGTCTCCACCCATAACTGTTACCCTGTATTCCTGATGCCTGAGCTACATTAAGTAGAATGTGCATGTTGTAGACCTCTGATGATGTAAACTTGGTACTACATGCTGACTTGCTCTTCACATGCAGTAAGCTACATAATAATGTACTGGTAAATTAGAAACAAAGAATGCAGCAGGGTCTGTCTAGCTTATTTAAAGATGAAACGGAATAGGCAAAGTAGCACCATACTTTTTGATGCTGGGGAAGCACACTGGTCAAAAACCTGTATGGCTGCTCATTCATTAATTAGTCTTCTGCTAATGTCAGGCCTGTTGTGCCTAGAGTTGACTAGATTCAATACTCTTTCCCTACGGTTTTTCCTTTTTCTGCACTGTATAGGCAGTTTGCCAGACAACATGGCAAAATGTCCTGAGGCTTCTGGTTCCATCCTCAACTGACAGTGGTCCAAGGCCAATGCTGAAACATGGCTTTCAGTGTGATGGGAACATAGGAAGCAGTTAAAGAAACCCTGGCGTACTGAACCACTTTGAGTCCTGTGTGTATTCTAGATTCTAACCCATGTGTAGCTCCACACAGAACTTCCATCCGCTAACCAGCATTGTCCAACACATGTCTTTAAACCTCACTTGGCATCTGTTTCAGTGACGGAAGGTTGAGTGTGGCCTGTTTGCTGGAGAACAAACTTTTCCCCCTTTTTTTTTCATCATTCAGGCTGAAAGCAAGGAGTTTCATTCTTTCATATTCCTTTTCAGTGTTGTGCTAATTTTAGATAGACATAAGAGGAAACCTGAAGCAGGTTTGTCTATGCTAAAGAAAGGAAGGCCAGTTTTAAAAGCCATAGTAGCCAGGCCAGTACATTCTGCAGATGGCCTCACAGCAGTCACTGTCAGTCCCTTACCTCCGCGTTCCCACTGAGAACCACAATCATCTCCCAGGCTGCAAGCCAGGACTCCATGTGAAGAATCTTCTTGGCTAACTGTAGTGTGCTCGTCACTGCCACTAACCACCACCAAGTGAGTTTTTAGAGCTTTGACACACGGTCTTTATAAATTAATCAGGATCCCTGTGACCCGCCCACCCTCTTGAACCCAAGTCTGGCCCCTGCTGATCTAGAAGGGAGGTGGGGTTTGTTGTAGGGATGGGGGGCAGCGAGAGGGGCCGCTGAAGAGGGGACCAGCTCCTTCCTCCCCAACAGGAGATACATGTATCTCTGCATTATCTAAATCGGACTTTTAAATTCAAGAAAGATTTACTTAATGTAAGTATAAACCCGACTGACAGTTCCCTCTGATGTCCAAATAAGGGGACTTTTGTGAGTGCTTGGGCTACACTTACTGTAGGAATGGGCTCTTTATTGTCTTTCTCCTGGGCTGGATAAGTGGACTAATGTTGCCTAATATTGTCCATATTAATAACTTAATAAATAAATAGCATATGAACTTAAAGTGGTATTATTTGTTTTCTTTGTGTGTGTTGTCTGTATTTTTACATCTAAGAACAGAGTATGCTCATAGTTGGTACCATGTGTTATTGAATGAATGAATTAATTAATTAATTCTTACTCATGAAGTTTCAGGCTGCTAGCAAAAAAAAATTTTTTTAATTCCAGATAGACTGATAGATTTAGATTTCTAGAGCTTTCAAAACAAAAACACTATGCATTGCATTCTTACTAAAAATCACTATAGAGAAGAAAAACAACTCAGAATAGAAGTGTCCCATGGTCCTTCAGTTGAGACATGGTATCTTGTGATGCAGCTATCAGTTCAGACTAATAGGAGCTTCCAGCTCCAGCAAAACCAAGTGGTCCACTTCTCCAGGAGGACTGTGCACTTAACTACAGAGGCCAACAAAGGAGAAAATTCACTACTAAGCCCAGGCAGTTGGTGGGAGAACAAAGACCAGACAGTAGTTCATCTCCAGCTATTACTCTCAGCTACTTTGCACCCCATAGGACACACTTTTAAAAGAGACAGTAGGTGAAGCATCACAAAGCCAGGAAATGTCCCTTCTTCCCCTTGACCCCACCCAGTAGCTTGGAGTCCTTCTCACACTGTAACCTTGTATTCAAAGCAAAGTTGATAAACACTATTCCAGAATCTAGTATTTTCCTTGGAATCATGCTTCACACATCCTTTGATGTGATGAAGTTCTAAAGTGGCTACCTGTTGGAAATGAACTATTGCTACTTGGCAGGCATTAGTGTAAAGGTCTGAGGAGGCCTGCATGTGAGAACTCAGAAGGAGATTAAGCTATTCAAACTCTGCTGAACATACGGGCTGCAGATGTACAGTTGTTAAGACACTTGATCATTCCTCTTTGTATCCAGCTGTAACAATCAGTTAATCAGTTAAATATCTGCTCAACACTGGCTAGCCATAACGTTTCAACTCTACAGGTATAATCAAATGACACAGAATGATGTTTGGATGAAACCTCTTAATTGCAATTAGGAACTTACGTCAAAAATGGGGAGGGGAGGCTTTAGTTGTGGGGGAGATAAATAGAGAAGGAGATAAGAGTAGAATAAAACGTAAGCGTGCCTGAAAACATCCTAAGGAATCATACCATCGATGACCTTCCTACACATATAGTATAAATGAAGTTTTCTCATCTGGGCTGGCAATGCTTTCTCCAAGAGGCAAAGCACTTAATGCTCTGGATTTGATCCTCACCACTACGAAAAACAAACAAAACTTAAAAACGGGCGTCATTAATCGTATTCTGGGAGCGAGGAGATGGCGTGTAACGTGCCTGCATGACCTGAGTTCTGGTCACTTAAAGCTAGGCACACAGCACACCTCTGTGGCCTCAGCGTTTCCACAGAGAGCTGGGGTGGGGGTAGGGGAGGACAGGATGACCCGCTGGCTGGCATGAGCAGCAGTGCAAGAGACCTCGTCTCGAGGTGGAAGGCAAGGACCGGCAGCCAAGCTTGCCCTCCGACCTCTACACACATGTTGTGGCACATGGCACAGGCTCAAACTCACACGGACACACCAGACAGAAACACTCTACTCTTCACTCCTGCCGTATGGTGTCTGAGTGGCCAGCATAGAAGAGAAGTGATGCAGAACGGCCGCTTCCGAGAACTATTAACTCTTCCGCTCTCCCCATCTCACTCCTCACCCTCGCTCCCCTGTCAGATCGTTGAGAAATGCAGTGACTTCTCCGAGCCATAAGAGAACAAGGCGTGCACTGTGTGAGGAAAAGCATCTGAAGAAAACTCGCTTCCTGCTCATTTACCGGGAAATCTTCGCCATGCATCTTCATGAATCGCACCCCCATTTTCCAGCATTCCCGCCTATAAGAAGTGTACTTTGCCATATCTGACTGATATAACGGGGTTGTGCCATGATTTTTGTTGCAAATGCCAATTTCTTATATCATTAAAATGTGTCGTGTGGCTGAGGCCTTTTTTTCTCCACTTGCGCGGTAAGATTTTATTTTTTAAATTCTAGGTTTCCTTGTAGCATTTCATATGTGCTTGGGTTTCATCAGCTCTCCTCCTCCCGCCCTCTCTCCCTCATCTCCCTGCTTCCTAACCCTTTCAACCTTCCACTTTCAAATCACATGGTAAGTCTCATAACAACCGCATATTCTTCAATTGCTTGGATGTATCAGAGTCACCTAACCTTTTCCTCACATTTGGATGTTTAAGGCACGTTGAATTTTGAAAACCCATCCCCAAGTGTTAGGTTGTATTTTTAGATGCTACTAGTTTCTCATTTAAAAACCATCTGACCCGGCCAAGGGTGGTAGTCCAAACCTTTAATCAGTCGCAACACTTAGGGGCAGGGGCGCACAGATCTCTGAGTTTGAGGCCAGCCTGCTCTACATAGTGAGTTCTAGGACAACCAGAGCTACATAGTGAGACCCTGTCTCAAAAAGTAAGTAAAAATAAAAAATAAACCTGGCCTTCCACTTTTGGTCACTAATCTTAACGGCCCCGTGGTTCCCAGCCGTCTACTCCTCCTACCTCCTACACTCACCAGCTCCCACATACCCTACTCCACATAAGCCCAGACCTCCAGGAGGCCCACATCCGTGCTGCCCTCCAGGTGTCTGGCTCTCATTATCAGTGTGCTCACCGTAAAGGATGAAGAGCAGAGTACAGCTGTCACCACCCATGCAGCTGGTCTCTGACTGCCTCCTAGCACCATCGTCAGCTGCTGATTATAGTGCCGTAACACTCTGACTAGGCCTGCAAACCTCCGTTCGCATTTGCTCCACCCAATCAACACGCCACGGGCACAGCTCACGTGGAAAGGGGGAAGAGATGGAAAGCCCCTTCATGTCCAAGGATCAACATTTAGCACTCTGTCTTCTATGATCTGGCCGAGACATTTCTTCCTCATAAGCCAGAGATGGCATGGAGCCCATCACACATGCTTGTTTACTCCACATAGCATTTGCTAAGAGAAAAAAGCAAAACAAAACAGATAGATCCATTGACATTTTGGATGATTTTACGTAGAGATCTAGTTCTCTTGACCACTTTAAAAATAAATCTAGGGGCTGACGGGGGTGGCTCTGTTGGTAACACACTTGCTATGTAAGCCTGAGGATCTGAATTTAGACCCCCAGCACCACACAAAAGCCAAGCAGAGTGGCACACGTCTGCAGCCCCGGCTCTGGGCAGACACACAGGAGGCTCTCTGAAGCTCATTGGCCTGCCAGCCTAACAGAGCTAATAAACCTTGTGACCGAGATTCAAAAATAAAGCGGAAAGTAACTGCAAATGACAACTCACGTTGGCCCTGGCCTCCACATGCATACACGTGTGTGTGACACATACATAACCTGGGAGATCTGGAGGGAGTCGGAGTGTGCACTTAAGTGGCAAAGCATGCATTTAGTGTGTGTGAGGCCCTGGGTTCAGTCCCCAAGCCGAGGGGAAATGGGGAGAGTTCTAGCATTTCAGGGGTGGTGTGCAGCCCCCAGCCTGCTGTGGGGGAGGGAGCGCCTGTCCCAGCCCTGAGCCTTCAGCTCATGTCACCTCACCCCCTCAGCCACTGGCGACTCGTATGAAGGGGACTTGGACCTCACATGTGTGCTGTTTCCAGCAGAAGGACGGACATGGGTTTTAGGAACACTAAATTCACTCAGCAATACCACATACAGGACGGGTCACGTCATGAAGTTGGGAGTGGCTGACTCAAGGACAGCTCCACGGCTGTCACTGGTTTGCTTCCTTTAGAGGTTCTAAAGGCTGGTGACAGCTGCAGGCTGAATGAGAAATGACAGGAACAGGAAAGCACAGCAGCAAGCCATCCCAAGCCTGTGGCTGACAGGAGGAAGATGAGGCTGGCACCAGTGTCCCCCTCTCCCCCAGCCTTGGCAGCCTCCCATGGCGAATTTGCAATGTCCCTTCTTGAACAGGTTAGGAAGGCTGCCTGTTGTGGCCTGGTTTCTCTGTGACTCTGACAAACGTCAGGACATTAAGCAACATGGAGAAGAAAGGACTTCTCCCATCTTCCCATCAACCCTAGGTTGTGTCAAGTTGACAAAAACTTACAGTGCGTAGCCCTGCTGAATACTGTGATCCACTGGCCCTGCTGGAGGTGGGATCCTACAAAGCCAAAGCTCAACTAGGCTGCTCCTTGGGGCTTTCCGTTGGAGACTTAATCCCACGGCGGCACCGCCAAACCCCCAGGCAGACTCAGGCTCCTACAGCTTCCGAGGTGTAGTCAGCCCTAGGAAAATAACCCTCCTCGTGTTCAATGGCTACACGATCAGAAGTTTTGTTCCACTTGCAGCCAAGGCCCCAGTGAAGCAGTCGCCCACTGACAAACTGTTCAGTGGCATCAGGCACATGGGAGGAGGTGCACCTGAGGAAGAAATGGCCTCTAGGATCGGGAAAAGACAAGTCAACCTCCAAGCCTCAAGCTACTGAAGGCCACGTGGGCTGGAAGCCGGAAGCTGGTTTCTCCCAGAGTTGACCGACCCAGGAAAAGTACCAGAGGTCCTCAGCCCTCTGCTCTATTTGAGAAGTGGGTGGCATCAGTTTGTGGGCTGAAAGTGCCTTGGTAGCCATACTTCAAATTTCATATTTACTAAATATGCTTCTCTGTCCTCCTTACATACTGAACTCCAGTTCTGTTCAGGAGGCAATGTGACAAGCTTAGAAAATGGCCCCAGATGTGACCACTGACCACCTTACCTACTCTATCACTGTGGATACCAAGCCAAGCCTGTTTCCCAGGTTGCCAGACCAGTGATACGATTTCCCAGAAATGCAGATCCCCAGGAAGGGAGATGGAGAAAGGCAAAATCCTGCCAGAGACATCCCCTTCACCGTCCTTTCTTTTCTCATCATTGTTAATGGTACTGCCAGCAGCCCCAAAAGTACAGCAGCCCCCTCTTCTCGTCACCATTAGAAGATGAAGTGGGGAGACATTAAGGAGCACAGAAAGGAAGTTACACAGATGTCAGAAGCATT